GAACCCCCCTAGGAGCTGATACAGCAGACAGTCACTCCTTACCATCCAGTCCCCTACAGAAGCCCTCATTTCCACGCAGATCACTGTATAAACACTCAAGGATTTACAGCAACAAACTGGCTCAGGCAGGGAAGGGTGCCAAGCCAACAGGAAGTTATTCACAATGATTACAGGTGCTATCAGCAACATCCTCCTGTGCCCTCAGATACAAATGCAAACAGGCATTAGTCAGATCCACCAGCAGTACCTGGAGCCAGCTATTTCTCAGTGCTGTGATCAGCTCTGGACTTGCACAAACTGCATGAAGCTGCCTCTTCCTGGAACTGGGATAACTCACAGCAACCATCCCTTTGCCATCCAGGTGCCCCAGCTGGCTGACTGTCCCTATCCAATAAGGACAGGGTTTTACAGCGCCCGACACATTTATGCCTTGTATTTAGCATTACACATGTTGCAGCAAAATTCTGTATTCTCTACAGTTTATGATGCTACATGATAGTAGTTGCCTATAGGAACCATGCATATGAACTGAGAAGACAGACCCAGCCTCCAGTGTCTTTACCTACACATGCCTATTAAAACTATTCATTTCCTTCTCTAGCCTCATCTTTTGCATCTCTGTTTCCAAGAACAGGCACATGGCTATCACATTTAAAAACTCAGTCTACCATGACTGTCCAGCTTTTAGGCTCGCCTGGACCACAATGAGTGAAAAGGAACTGTCTTAGACAACATATAAAATACAGAATATAGTTAATGTATATAAGTATTAAAACATACATATATATATGTATATATATAGAGAGAGAGAGAGACAGAAAAGTAGAGGGCAACAAAAACATAAAGCTGTGGGTTGGACACATATGGGACCATTGTTAAGATTCAGTGTAAAAGCAGCACTGCTCCATGCTGTTCCTGGGGAAGGCAGAAGGAAAGCAGGACTCAATTCTCCCTTCATTGTGAAGTGTTTTACTGTACGCTCTCTTTCTAAACAACCCATTTTCTATTTCTACTTAATGCATCAGGAGGAATGGGGGATGCACATTCTGGAGCTGTAATTAAAATTTTCTTGCCTGCTGTGCTACACAGGCCTCCAGCTGACCACACACAGAAAGCAAAGTTCATGCAGTATGGCTGCTGTACGGCATGCAAGACAACCACTGGATGGTGACTCAAATACAGATGATTTTTAAAGTCAACAGAAAAATACCAGAAGACAGCCCATGCACACAGCTGAGTACAGATAACCTTTGGACTCCAGCAGCAAGGATAATCTCCACAGACAGCTGCTCACAGTTGCAAGGAATTCTAATGAAGCTGTTCTAAAAGAGCAAACCTTTCACTGTACCCATCCAGTCACAGGATCCAGAGCCAGCTCTGTGTTCTGGCATCAGCTCTGCATAAATGCCTTGTGGACGAGCTCTTCATTAGCTGGTCTGCTGATGTGAACACAATTAATCACAGACACAAACCCTTCCAGCACGAAGCTTACAGTTAGAAGAAATGATCCAACTTTAAAGTTCAGTATTTGCAAACACGCTTTAGCCTCTCAGATGCATTAACAGACAACACAGATCGGGTTTAGTATTTTAAGCCATTATGTGATGCTGATGCTGTGCTGTTAGCACAGGTTTTTCTCAACTACAATGAAGTTTTAAAGGCTTGCACTCTGTCCTGAGGGCAGAGGGCTCCCTGCCTAACACCCTATGTCAATTAGATATGACTAAAACAAAACAACACCACACTGACACACTTAATGAGACTAAGGCTCTATTTGAACATACTATGGTAGAAAGAAAGACAGGTAAGAACTGTTCCATAGAAGTGCACAGAAGCCTTGCCAACACCTTCATCCATAGGACCCACATGGCAAAGCAGGACCTGAAGCGGTTCATTTCAATTCAGTGCTGGCATTTTTATGTCTGCAGCTCCCCAGTCACTATCTCCACCTCATTTACAAAGCCTTTTAATTTTCTTTCTTCCTTCTCTCTCTCCATGCCAGTAAGGAACAAACTACTACGCAAACTTTCTCTAGGCTCACAATCAAAATAATCCTTTAAATCCTGCAAAGCCTCAGTTAGCCAGGAAGTGCAGCAATGCCTAAGCATTAAACAAGTTTTCATTGCTAAGTCAACAGACACACATTTTTGTTTATATACATATTTAAATGCAGGTTCACTTAATTCCCACTCTTTGGTTCAGAGTCTAAGCACACAGTATCCAATGTGATTTCTATGTAATATAAAAATATTTCCCTAAATTCTTTTCTAATCTACTTTCACACTTGGATTTCATCATATGTTCAATTTCTGCTTATCCAAATAACATCCTTTCTCTCTTTCTATGTACATACACATTCCCCTTAGCCATATGGATTTGCCAAAACTATAACACTTGATCTTAAATGTGTTGAAATTCAAATAAATAATCTTCACATCATTTAATGAAAGGAAAATAAAGCTTTTCTTTACTGAAAAAACGTTTTTCTTGAATGCAGCTGTTCAAAGACCACCTTTCACAAGAGTTTAGCTATGAGGTGATCAGTCTTCCCAAACACAGAATTTCTGAATGATAAGTAGTAGAACACTAGATACAGAATAACACAAATACAGAAGGAAACTGGGAACATCCTAAGGCATCACCCTTTTCCCCCATATACAAACAGCCTTTTTCTCTATCCCTACAACCACAGGTCGGGAGGCCTCTCCAAGTACTCTCAAAGAAATCTGAAGTGCTTCTGTTGTTAGTCAATAACAAAAGCATTCGTGTTAAGGCTGTTTGTTTGTTTTCCCCCTCTGAAGGAGGCAAAGCACATCTCCAACTTAAATGTGAGCCATCTACTAATTCTCAAGGCACCATTCTAAATACGTAGGAGTTTTCAGGAGACAAAGTGTTTCATTTTAACAAGCCTAAATAGATGCTCACAAACAACTCATTATTGCCACAATTTCATCATCAGAAATAGCTGAACCGCACTGAAAACTTCCTTCAAAAACCAGCCCACAGCATGGGAGCCTTCAGCGTAAACAAATTAAACTACTTCCAAACATTATATGCAATGAAAAATCGACACCTTACAACAAACCTTGCTCAGCAGACAGTTCCACCAGCACTAACTGTGCTAGCAGGGCTTACCCAAGAAAAATCTCTCAATTTACACAGCCTAATTCCTCACCACCTGACCACTCCCTCGCACAACACCACACCAAACCTTATTTCTCACAATGGGGACACCAGAGGACTGCAGCCAAGTGTCCTCATGGTGTCACTTGGTAACATCCAGTTCTCTTTCCTGAACAACTCCGTGAGAGCTATCCATTTCGATGCAGTTATAGGCTAAATCCATATTACACCTCCTTTATATAGCTGCTAATATATGCACTCATATATTACATGCAAGCAACAAATAATATGACTCAACTCCAAGGTTTTCTAAGAATATTCAAACCATGTACGTCTGCCATATAGAAAAATCCCTTTCATTCAAGCTGCACATAGAGGCCAGATGGCCAAGTGATTTACTGCAATTGTGCTCTGAGCGTGTTAGAATGAGAATCCTGACTACAACCTACAAACATACAGCAATTGATCAAAAAATTAAACTGATATCAGGAACAGATTTACAGATGTGACCAAAAGGAAAAAATAATTTCACTGCATGTGTTATACATAAAGGCACTAATTAATATGACAGCATTAGCATTTTCTTCATCGCAGACAAAACATGTGCTTTCTCATTTACAGAAGAAAAAGAAACCCCTAAATTGCGAATTAGCAGTTCTGTTGCAATCTAGGGATTATAGAAGTTAAGGAAACAGTAGGTTGCTGCTGAGCTAACTCCTCAAATCCACTTAGCTTATACAAGGGAAGAAAATAACAATACCGGAACGCTTCCTCTACAAAAGGCCACAGATCTCTTTCAATTTGAACCGAGCCAAAGCCCCATTCGCTGCTATTTGTACCAGTTTCACTTCCAACCCTAACTTCCTCCTCATCGCCACACTGCCTACATCAGAGTGGGCTTCTCAGTCTGGCCATTATCTTCTCGTGACAGGGATTCCATTTTCAGACTATATCAGGCATTTCTCAAGCAATTGCTGCAACGATTCTCAAAGCAGTATGGGATTTATCTTATTTGTGGTTTGTGGTTCATATCTGTAAAATTAATCACTCTTCCTACCTCATTAACTTGTAAAGTAGCTACTGTGAAGAAAAATCCATGGCCATTTTTAAAAGCCTTCTGTCAGAAAAGTGATGAAATTAATTATTTTCCTTTCCTGACCTTTAATTTTTGATGTCACTTTCTTTGGAGCCATTTGAAAAATAAAAAGGAAAGTCCTAAATGCAAACTGTACTTCAAATGAGAGGCTGAGAACTTGCTTCAGACTCGCTATGGTACGTGACTTACTTAGTAAGTGAAAATAAATCACAGTCTCTTCAGCTGAAGTCTAACACGGACACAACCGCATGCAGCCAAGATGTTCAAGAAATACTTTGCCTAAGCCGTTACTAGAGATAACTGCCGATCATTCAGATTATTTGACTGAACTAATTATATTAGATTACTCTATTAATATCTACCACTTCACTTCTGCATCAGACAGCGCAGGAGGAACGCCGTCCGTGCGTCCCTTTCCACGGGAGCGGCCGCCGAGGCGTCAGTTCCTCGGAGCGCGTTAGCCGGGAGGTTACATAACGCGTCGCTCCGGGAGCGATGCTGCAGCGTTACCTCCCGAGCGCTCACGGTAAACCCGAGCACGGCCACGGGGGCGGCGGGGATGAAGTAGGACTTCTTCTTCCGCGTCACTTCCCTCGGGGCGAACGCGGTCCGCAACCCCGCGGCGGGACGGGGCAGAGCCCGCAGCTCCAGCCGGGGTGACCCATCTTCAGCCCGACCCCGCGCCGGCAGACACCGCAGCGCGACCGGCGGCAGGGCTGCGGCCCGGGGACCCTCCCCCCACGCCCAACTTCGCCAAAGCGGCCGTCCGGTCTGGCCCTGCCCTGCTCCCTCCCCACCCGGCGGGACCCCGATACCGGACCGTCGGCCGGTGCCGCCGCGCCTTCCCGGCAGCAGGTGCGTCGCTGCGACCGCTCGGATCCCGGCCGGGCTGTGGAGGCGGTGGGGCGCGCAGGTGCTCCCTCCGCACGGCTCCCGGAGCGCCGGCTCCGCTCGGTCCCGCCCGCAGAGCCCTCCCTGTCCACAGGAAGGCGCGGGGCAGCGGCCGTCAGCCCGGCGCGCCGCTCACCTCCTGGGCCGCTGCCCCTGAGCGGTCCCGTCCTCTTCTCCCTCCTCCTCCTCCTCCATGGTGCCGCTCCACCCCCTCCGCGGCGGTTCCGCGGCTCTCCAGCAGGAGCTGTCGAACGGCTGCGGCTTCCCGCCCGCGCAGCACACCGCTGAGGGCAGCGCGCCAAGCTGCAGGCAGCAGCTCCACAGCGCCCTGCCCCGCACCATGCCGCAGCGGCCCCGCGTGCGCGGCCGCCCCCGCCCGGCAGTGTACGGCGCTGATAACAAGATGGCGGCGGGGCCCGGCGCCTGAGGCGGGCGGCGTCGGGCTGGGAGCCGGCCAAGACCTGTGGTTGATCCCGATAGTTCGTAAACGTTCCCTGTCTGGGAGTCTGTGCGGGCTCTAACTCACCGGTGTCGTAGCGAAAACTTTGCTAAAGTTGGTTCTCTCAGGAACTGGGAGCCTGGCCACCGCTGCCAAAGTTAAACTGTGCTCACTCAATCCCGCACCGCTGGAACGGGGACCCTCCTCGCACAGAGCGGCTCTCACATGCCTGCATTATCCTGGTTCTTTCCTTTGCTATTAGGAAATTAAAACTCCTCACACAGTGAGTTTAGTCCACTGCCAAGCCCCTGTGGGCAGTCCTCATCCGGAAGGAAGCAAGGGGTTCTGAGGAATCAGACTGGAGAAATGAGAAGCTCACAGAAGTAGAACAGGTACTTTTAAATTCTTTCCATACCTCCTTAACGATGTAAGACGATGGAAGGTAGAGAACAAAGTTATGCGTGTGCGATACTGCATGTAGCAGCAGTGTGGATTCAGAGGCTATCTGGAGTTCAGACACATTTATATGCACCTTATCTGGAAGCTCAGGAATCAGTAATGAGATTGTTGGGAAATCTCACGTAGGATCAGAAGTGAAGGTCTAAAGATCTTGGGGGAAGCACAGATACAGAGTAGTGCCACTCTGCTGTGCTCTTATGAGACATCACCTGCAGTATTGCATCCAGTTCTGGGGCCACCAACACAAGAAGATCATGGAGTTGTTGGAGCAGGTCCAGAGGAGGGCCACAAAAATCATCAGAAGGCTGGTGCACCTCCCCTGTGCGGATGGGCTGAAAGAACTGGGGTTTTTCATTCTAGAGCAGTGAAGGCCCAGAGGGGACTGAGGGAAAGGCTAAATGGCCTTCCAGTACCTGAAGGGAACCTACAGAAAAGCCAGGGAGGGACTTTTTATAAGGGCTGGTAGTGACAGAATAAGAGGAAATTGCTTTGAACTGCAAGAGGGCAGACTTAGGCTAGATATTAGGAAGTAATTCTTTACTGTGAGAGCGGTGAGACACTGGAACAGGTTCTCAGAAAGCTGTGGATGCCCCCTCCCTGGAAGCACTGAAGGCCAGACTGGATGGGGCTGTGAGCAATCTGGTCTAGAGGGAGGTGTCCCTGCCTATAGCAGGGGGTTGGAACTGCAAGATCTTAAAGGTCCCTTCCAACCCAAACCATTCTATGATTCTATGGAAATGCAAGTCTTACTTTTCTTATTATTAATCTATCATTCCCTTAACCTTTGTAAAGTAAAGAAAGCTAATACTGCCACATTATCTTGTTCAGAATGAGGAAAACCAATGTGTATTTGCTACCTTTGGTCAAGCAGATTTGCTGCTGATTTATGAGAGGGAAAATCCCAGTTCATTCCTCCTGACTCCTCTCAACTGACTTTTCCTGATCATTTCATCTCCTATCAGTATGTCTAAAGATAAGCAGGCTTTGTAGATGTTTTGATTTGTACTCACACTTCATTCAACATAAATGTATATGGATTTAACTTATTTCTACTCTGGCTTTATAGAATCTAAGGCTGACTACATGAGTTAGATGATAAAGCTGCTCTTTATAGCTACAATCAATGCCTGTTAGGTTAGGAATAATTAAAGCCTATGCATAGCAATTTGTGCAATCCAGCAGGCAAGCGCCTCCAGACCGGTAGTATCTGATTGCCAACAGTAATGGATTTGGGATGCTTATCCTGAAGGTCAGCTGAATGTCTCCCTGTAGGCAAAGCTGCATGCACGTGTCATTTGGAAGTTGTTTCTATGTCACCAGTGCTACATAAGCCATACTGAAGAGTAAGGCTGTGCTTGATCGTGTTTTGTCTATACTGCAAATACAGATGTCAGCATTTGGAGGCTGTAAGTAAAGACAACTGGTGTCTATTCAACACACAGTGTTCACAGTGTTTAATTTGAAAGGGAAATGCCTCTTTTTCTAGTGAAGAATTATACACTTGTTCAAGTATGTTCTGGCACAGCTAGAAGTCTGTATCTAATGTGTGTTACCTACTCTGCCACACCAGTCTGCACAACATGAGAAAATTAAAGTTGAGAGGTGTTTCTCAGCAGAACCAGAATTTTAAATTAATTTCCTGTTTCACTACTCCCACGAGCCATCTAAGATCTCAGTCTGGTCCTGCTGCTTTGGTATGTTTTGATCTCTCAATGTCTTATGTGCACAAATGCACTTAAACCAAGGAAAAGTCCCAATGGGACATCTGTGCTCAACAAGTTGTGCAAACCCAGAGCAGAGATCTGTCTGACTTGTAAAATACCACAGACATGCTAATGTGCTTAGAGGACTGATGTTCAGATTCTGCAGAAGTTGGGGGCTAGAAGTAACTAACAGATGGGGAGGTTCCAGGCATCTGTGAATGAGGTACGAGTTTTTCGTTACATCTAGTCTGTAATAATTTTATTTTCTCCAGTGGCACACATTTCTGGTAATTGTACTGTTCAGACTGGCCCTATATATTTCTGCTATAAATGGATTGGGAAGCCGCTTTATACTGCGGAGAGGCACAGATACTGAGGAATATCAATCAAACAGATTATTACTGGGTAGTGTATTTTATTTTCTCACAGTGAAATTTAACAGCTGAAATAGAATCCTATTTTATAGAGGAAGTTTTTATGGTATATCATTTCAGTAACCATTTGGAAGGAGATATTCCTTAACATAGCTTAAACTGCTTAATACAACAACCTGTATCTTAATTAGAATCATGCAGTTGGTATTTCATGAATTGTATCCACAGTGGTGTATTTCCCTTGGAGATAAAGCATGAATTAATCATGAGCAAGACAGCTCAACTCACTTGACTATAAATCTTCTCTCGATGAAGAGTTTCACTTTCAATGCAGCAGAAATTTATCAATATTTTGTTTAGAACTTGGAAGTGTAGAATTAATATCTTATTCACAAAGTGTAGTTTAGTTAGCTGACATAAGCTGTGTCAGAGGAAGGTACCTACTGTCTTGGTCAGTAACTGAAGCACAATCTAAAGAAGGAAAAAAAAAACAAAATTCTTACAATGAAACATTTTTATAGCTTTGTACATGAGCTGTCTTATCTTGATTGTGAAAATCCTCCAAGATAGTAAAATTAAACATATTCTGTCATCTCTTGTTAACATTAGAGTATCAGTATCATCAAACCCTGTTAGACTTAGGCTCACTATAAACTAGGCAACATTTTCTTTGACAGTGCAGATGCAGCTTGTAGCATCGGAGAGCACACTCACTGGAGCAGTCTGAGCTGGATCTCTCAGTGAAATAAACTATCCCAGCAAAGACATTTTTCACCACTCTGATGGTGTCTCTACTAAATTTCTTACTGGCATATAAATGTTGCACCAAAAGGAAGTCTGCTAGGTTAGTAAAATTCTCTCTGGTAAAACTGTCCCATGCTGGGATAAAATGGAAAGATTTAACCTAGCCCTTCTAATTATAATGTGGGGAGGAAACCATTCTCATGGTACCCGTGTTGTTTTGGAGAGAAGTCAAAAAAGAAAAGATATTTCGCATGGTGCAGGCAGAGGCAAGCAGTTTTAGAACACGTTGGATGATAAGTTATCCTGTGAAAGAGGAGTACACTGCCAGCTAATGCATATACACAAAGACAGTGAGTGCTTTACAGTAACATTTAATTAAAACATACCTAAACATAAAATATTTCTCCAATCTGGGCATAGCCCTTTAAAAAATAGTTAAGCTAACATTCTCACTGAGCTCCAAGATGTGTTTTAGAAAATCTTTCTGAGTTACTCCATATATCAGAAGCCTTATGGCTGAAGGATGTTCCGGGAACTAGAAAGAAAAACAGCTCAAGAATGATCAGTGGATACAGACCTGGCAAAAGAGCCTGTTATAGTTTAAATGGTAGCTTTAAATTGACAGTCACAAAATTGATGCAGAACCAATATACAGTACTTAATGAAGTAACTGTAAATGTCATGGTTACTGTTACAGATCCAAACTTCTTGCATGGGAAAGAAGCTGACCACTTGGGAGACTACAGAGAAGGAATTTAGAGAACTACTAAAAAAAATTCAAAACCAGAAAACCACCACGCTTCTAAATATTAAGTGAAATACTCTCTAATGACAAGCTAGTATCTTTACTTTCTACTTAGAAGGTAGGATAGAATCATGGAATGGCTTGAGTTGGGAGGTACCTTAAGGATCATCAAGCTCCAACCCCTCTGCCACAGGCAGGGCTGCCAAACTATGAGTGGAGGAAGACAATAACTGGGACCATAATAGAGACATTTAGGTTGCATCTGTACTAGCAATGGTCCAGGAGCATTCTTCAGCCTCGAAGCCAAATTGTACAGTGCATATATTTTCCTAGCCCAGAAGAGCAGGTGGCTTCATTTGCTGCTCAGTGTTCCCTCACCCCTCTAATGCCTCAGCTGTGATTGGGCACTATATGGGAGAGTGTTGGCACGAGCAAAAATGCAGGTTGTTAAACCTTGGTAGTGATTTAATAATTCCTAGTGATAATGCAACTGAATTCAAGGTCCATGCCCTGTTTACTGGAACACATCTAGCCTTAGACAATACCTGATTTTGCAACTTAACCTTGTATCTCAGGAGTAGTGCCAACCAGTATCAGAGAGAACTAGGGCTCCCTGAACTCAGTACTGCTGGAGCACAGCCGCATAGACCTCCACCTCAAAGAGCAGCTCTCAGGTCTGTGCACTGCCCTTGTTCTTTCCTCTCCTGACAGTTTCTTCACGCAGTGGATGAAGACCACTGCCTCACAACTGCCACACCTGGCTCCAGTGGGAAGTGTGAGGTTTTGAGGAACCAGTCCAGAGAAATGAGGAGCTCAGAGAAGTAGAACAGATACTTCTGAAATCTTTCCATACCTCCTTAAGGATGTAATACAATGGAAGGTAGAGAACAGAGCTATGTATGTATGACGCAAAAGAGACTGTATATAGTGGCAGTATGGATTCAGAGGCTACCTGGAATTCAGACATGTTTATATGCACCTTATCTGGAAGCTCAGAAATCAATGATGAGACTGTAGGAAAATCTCACATAGGATCAGAGGTGAAGGTCTAAAGATCTTTGGGGAAGAGAAACACAAGCTTTATCTTGTATTAATCTGTCATTCCCTTAACCTCTGTAAGGTGAGGAAGTCTAATACTGCCACGTTATCTTGTTCAGAATGAGGAAAACCAATGTGTATTGGTTACCTTTGGTCAAGCAGATTTGCTGCTGATTTACGAGAGGGAAAATCCCAGTTCATTCCTCCTGACTCTTCTCACCTGACTTTTCCAGAACATTTTGTTTCCTATCAGCATGTCTAACAATAAGCGGGCCTTGTAGATGTTTTGATTTGTATTCAAACTCTATAAAACAGAATCACAGAATCAC